TCGTCACCTTTCTGGTGTCGGCCAACACAGCTCGATTCGGAGTCCTAGTGGACGTTCCGAGTCGGGGTGTGTCAGCTATAGAAAGAAAACATATATCATCAATCTTGTTCATATCAACTTAACAAATAAAAAGAAAAAATACCTATTCAATTTGTGCCCTTTGATCCTTAATGGAATTGAAATTCTTGTTATTTCATCTAAATCAAGATTTTCGGCAAGCTCTTTTTCATTGTAGACAACCATTGAATCTGCCAGAAATTCACTCTTCATCTTATTGCGAATTCTTGTTTAATAAGATTCATTGCTGAAAAAGCTCGCTTAGTAGTTGCTGTAGAATCGGAGAGTGTCAATACAAGATCAAATTAACCTATCAATCAAATAGTACATTTCGGACCTCTTTGTTTCAACTAATTCTCAACATAATTCAGAAGTAGTAGACATTATTTTGAAACACAAGATGAGGTGGTACGTCTGATTCATTGATTTTCAACTCACACCTCAACATATGTAGCTCTTTTTGGTGAAATCATGGGGATGAAATTTCTTTTTAGGCTTGGAAATGTGATCAATGTTAAAAGTATCTCTTGGTTCTAAAGCTGCAGAATAAGAAGTTCAATTGGTTAAAGTAAACAATTTATTTAACTTTTATTAACTTTTTTTCAAGTAGTCTTAGGATTCAAATTTTTTATTTACTGGTTGGGCTATAACACTTAAAAATAATAAAACAGCCCAAATGATTCATATTTTTTAAGCTTAAATAACTAAAACTCTTCCTATGCTACAGCCCACCACATCCTGGTTAATGGTTCCACCAATATTTAACTGGGTTCATGTTCGTATTCGTGCTATGTGGCAAGGCCGAAGCTGATGAAGGACAGGAAGGCACATGCCCCCTCGATCAATTTTTCTGGGTTTTCTTTTCGTTGGAGATCAACGGTTGGAATTTAAAATTTGAAACTTGTTGGAATCAAACAAATAGTTACAAAGAGTCAAAATCTAATCTCGGTCAGAAATAATTAATCATAACATAAACAGTAATATAATCATGAGATCTTGGATGCGGTCACTAGCTATTAATAGTCTTTGACTAAAACCTTATTTGTTTTCAATTTTTTATTAAAGTCTTTTGATTTTGTGCACATCACATATTAATATTAATGTATTTCCACATCAGCAATAAAACTTGAGATTTTATGGTATTCAAATCTCAAACTGAATGGCCACTTAATACTACGGTCTAATGGTATTCCTCTTCACTTGTAAGTGAAATGTCTTAGGTTCGATTCTTATCAAAGGTGAATTTGAACCACATTATTGCTAGTCCATTGCGAGGCTAAGCCCACTACCTCCCCTTTAGTTAGATAACATCGTTTATTCAAAAAAAAATAAAAAATCTCAAACTTAATGAGGTACTAGCCTCTTGCCACACTCTGTTACATGTATTTTTTTTACTTGTAATTTTATTCTATTATTTTTATTTAAAAAAATTAAAGAAAAATTACTATCCATTACAAGGGTAGTTTTATTCTGTTAGTTGGGATTTTCTTTAAATTAAATCATTTTATTTCAAAATATTAATGAAGGAGGGGTATTTTTGGGATTATGAATGATTAATCTTTTTATTCTTCTAACTTTATATATATAGATAAATAAATTATTTTATTTCAAAATATTAATTAAGGAGGGGTATTTTTGGGATTATGAATGACTCACCTTTTTGTCTTCTGGCTTTATATAGACTAGCCTTTCTACAAGCGCCTTGTGTAACATCCCACATCGTCCAGGAGAGTGGATCATATAAGCCTTATATGTATATTCTCATCTCTACCTAGCACAAGGCTTTTTGGGAGCTCACTGGCTTCGGGTTCCATCGGAACTACGAAGTTAAGCGAGTTCACGCGAGAGCATTCCCAGGATGGGTGACCCACTAGGCAGTTCTCATGTGAGTTCCCAGAAACAAAATCGTGAGGGCGTGGTCAGGGTCCAAAGCGGACAATATCGTGCTACGGCAATGTCAAGCTCAGAATGTGGTTGGGGCTCGGGCCGAGATATGACAATTTGGTATCAGAGCCAATCCTTAGCCGAAAGTGTGTTGACAAGGACTTCAAGCCCCTAAGAGGGGTGGATTATAACATCTCACATCGGCCAGGGAAATGGATCATGGAAGCCTTATATGTATATTCCCATCTTTACCTTGCACGAGGCTTTTTGGGAGCTCACTGGCTTCGGGTTCCATCGGAACTTCAAAGTTAAGCGAGTTCGCATGAGAGCAATCTCATGATGGGTGACCCATTGGGAAGTTCTCGTGTGAGTTCCCAAAAACAAAACCGTGAGGGCGTGGTCAGGGCCTAAAGTAGACAATATCGTGCTACGGCGGAGTTGAGCCAGGGATGTGGTAGGAGCCCGGGCCGAGATATGACACCCTGCGCTTGTGAAAGGCTTTTTTTACATCACGGCACGTTACACGCTGTATACATAATTCTTTTTTTTGGTTCCATAATTGTGCATGCATAAAGACATCTTTACTTTAAAAACTTCAAAAGGCATACAAATTTCGTTTGAAAAAAGCTTCACTATGATTCCCATATTATACCATCAACTCATATTTTTCGTAATCCAATTTAAGGTTGCCACAACCTATTCAACCAATTTAAGGTTGTCAATAGAAGGTTTTTGTCTTTTCAATATTTTTCGTAATGCAATTTAAGGTTGCCAAAACCTATTCAACCAATTTAAGGTTGTCAATAGAAGGTTTTTGTCTTTTCAATACTTTTCTTAATCCAATATAAGGTTGCCAAAACCTATTCAACCAATTTAAGGTTGTCAATAAAAGGTTTTTGTCTTTTCAATTATTTTTCTCATGCGCGTGCAAAATGTATTTTTACATTGTGAAGTTTTTTTTTTCTTTATTACATTTGGTTACGCATAAAGACATTCTTATAATTATTTTTAATTTGTGACCTACATTATGAAAGGTATCAAATTAATAAACCAAGAAATCAAGAATGTCTTTATGCGTGAAGTCAAGCGTTAACTTGAGATATTCATTATGTAAAACTAAATTATTGCTCCTATCATCTGTGTCCATTCTTGATTTGTTGAAATCCACTTTAATTTTTGTTCATATTCCTGCATAAACCCAAAAAAGAAAACGAACGCAACAATTTTTTTGACAAAAGAAAATATAACATGAGGAAAAAATATATGCAATAACAATAACTTGCATATTAATATCAATGCAGAAAAGAGCTATATATTCTTCTCTACCAATCAGTTCAGAGAAAGAGTTATTTAAAAAACAAAAATTCTCTAAACCTAAGTCATAGAGGCGAAGCATCCACATGAACCAAAAGACCATCATCAAATTATCAAAATCCAGTCAAACATAAATGAAAAAAGACATGAGTAAATAGAAAAAACAAACGAACTCCATCGCCAAAATTAAATTGTACCTTTGCATTGCCTCCTCATCCATAGGAGTAACACATAGAACCCTCTGGAATTTCCTGAAAGCATCCTCATCCATGGGAACAACACACAGAACCGTGGCACTAGAATTTCCAGAAGGCATATGAATTATTAAGATGCCTTTGCATCGCTTCCTCGTCCACAGGAACAGCACAGAACCCTTGCACTAGAATTCTTAGAAAACATCCTCCATGAAAATTAACACGTCACATATAAAAATGTCGTAGAATCTCATCATGCAGATAAGACTCCATTTGAAGGAGTTGCCGAGTTTTTTGCTTGAAAAATAGACAAAAACGAAGAACAAATGAGCCCAACTCTACAAATTCCATGCAATGCAGCAAATGATAAGATCAAATCCACTACTAGTTCTCTGAACTACTCCCATTAGTCACAGCACCATCAATGGACTGCACGTTCTGCTGCAGTTCCGGCGAACTTGGCATCCTAAAAATATAAATAATTTTATCAGTAGAGAAACACAGAAGCAAGCAAAACAAACAAAAGCAAGATGTACTCTATAACGCAAGGCAAACCCTAAAATTTAAAAGAAAAAACCCAAAACCACTACTCCCTTTTTGTATTGAAAATTCATTTGCTCTTCTCTTGAAAGCTTCTAATCGGGTTTATGAGGCCACGTCATTGAAATTTTGTACCCATTTTTTGCTGGCGGTTTATTTCCTCTCTATAACCGTTCAGCTCTATTTGCAAAGCCAGAGACATAGAGGAAATACTGATGTGGGAGTGGGAAGTTATAGGAGAAAAAGAATGATATGCGTGCAAAGGAAACGTGGAGGTTTGAATCACACGTTCAATTTTTTTACTTTTTTTTTTCCTCTTTTATTTATTTTATTTTACTTTTTAGTTTGACAAAAATATCCATCATGAAATATTCATAAATTCTAGATAGCTTTATATCTAAGGTAGTTTTTTTTTTTTTGAGGGGCTTTTTAGTCCAATTATTTTTTATGAAGCCTTCAGACACCAAACTTGACTTCTGGCTTTCCAATATTAGAGATATATATACTAGCAAGTGCCCACACACACCGTGTGAACAATTTCATTTCATTTGTTTTTTATCAAGAAGTGTGAGTAGTTTTTAAAATTCTTAAAAAACAAACAGTGAAGAAAATTGAGATAATAATGAGCAATTTCTTCTATCATGGGATTACTTTTTATTTTTTTAATTTCTAAATAAGGCATGCTATACTAACCTGATTGTGAGGTTACGGTTAAAAAACAGCCAAATTTATATTCATACTATATTGCCCCTATTTTTTATTTGAGTTCAAATTTGGTGCGGGGGTTAAAATAGTAATTTTCTGGAGTTTTGGTTAACAACCAAAGTTTTATTAATGGGTAAGGTTAGATATTAATAATAAAAAACAGCCAGCAACAAATATGGAAATATTTTTCCAAATTTTGATTGAATAATGAATAAAAAGTCAGTATAACAATATATATATATATATATATATATATATATATATATATAACACAACATTATTTATACTAAAGAGAAGAGGGTGAACTTAACCTCATAATAGACTAGCAATAATGTATTTCAAATTCGTCTTTGTCGAGAATCAAACTTAAGACCACTCACTTACAACCAACCATACAACATAACGCGTACCGAATCCAATTAAGATGGTAGATCAGAGATGCAAAGCACATTTTCTTAGAGACAATGACATGGCAATGGCAGGAACAATAACGTGACCGATATCACCTTCTACATCCTCGTAAACAAGCTGTGTGGTTTTAGATACAATGGAAATGGCAGGTAAAAATATTGGGGACGAAAACATTGAAACCGATTGTACGGCAAACAATCACTGAACTTGGCTCAAGATAGCTCAATAGACAATGCCTTTTTGACAAGTCTTGCATCTACTTTCCCCAATTTGGAAGTGCTCGATTTGCGGCTGTAAGGGAGTTACAGAAGGCGGCATTGTACAAGTACTGAAGAGATGCTCTGAGATTAGGGAATTGATGATAGATGGTAGAGTGAGGAAGAACCTTTGTTTACTCCTTGAGTTTGAACTTCCCAAGTTGAAGGTATTGAGTTGGATGTATTCCGGAATCGATGATGAGGCGTTGGCTATGATCGGAAAAAGATGTCCCAGCCTACAGATATTGAACTTGGCAGGCAGCGGTGAAGAACTGCAAAAAGCTGAGGTAGATAAATTTACAGCAACTCTTTACGAAGACAATCCATCGGAACAGAAAGCAGCAATGCTTGCGTCAGTTAAACACTGTATTACTTGAATATAACTGTCATGTCTAATGGAAAATGCATGAGCTACTTATTCACAATGAGGGAAACCCTAAAACTGAGACTAGTATGGACCTTCAATTTCACTTTTATTCCCTACACAACTGGAAAAAATAATAGTTGACCAGGCACGAATCAAAATGCTGAGGAAACAGAGAGAGTGCCGACTGGTCTAATTCTTGTGATTTTCCTTGTACCGGAGACCCAGTTTAGAAAGAAACTCTGGCTTGTCTCGGAGACCAAGTTTAGAGAGAACGAGGCAGTAAGAATCCCAGTCAGTTCTTCGAAGATACTTAAATAACCTCTTCCTCTGCTGCACCATCGCTTGAAGACCCTTTAGAGAATGCTTGTCCTACACAAAACAAATATGCAAAGTTTTTATATCGAGTAATAAACCAACTTGGCACACATTCAGTATCCTAAAATCCAACACCAGCATATGGTCTTATATTTTTTGTCACAAGGTAAACCCTGACAACTCATTCCTTTATTGGGTACAAGGCAGTAACAGATTCCAAAGGCGTATAATCACTCACAAACCATATCTATCGAGTAAACCTGAGTAGGTTCTGCTCCAGTGAGGTTTAAAGTTCACCAATCCATGTAAACAGTAATAAAGATGGGGAAAAAATAAGGCTAACAATAACTACAACAGCTATAGAGTGATGGGGAGGGGCAAAGTATGTACCAGACATGTATGTCGGTGTCCGAGTGTTAGATATGTATTTACAAATGTCTATGTACTCCCCTTTGTATTTACAAGAGTGCGGAATTTGGAAAACAGAATCACCAGAAAATCAGACTGTAAACCCAAATACACCAGCACCTAGATATTTGCACAGAACTAGTGTCAACATTTGTTTTCAAGGTCAACATTTCAGAGTAACAGCAAGGATAAGCTACATTACGTTGATCCACCCAACATGCCAACCATTAATTTATCTATAATTACCGTGGACTATTAAAACTTCACAAAACTATCTTAAACCCCACAAGTCAAAGTTGTACCACGTAAATTATGCACTAGAAACAGAATGAGTCGAACTACTAATTAATTACCTGTACTATTAGCATGACAATAAATTTTTAAAATATGAACATGAAAGCATAAAACGGAAGATTATTGGTTCCTTAGTGACCTTTTTGTGTAAAACTGAAGATAGATGCTTGATTTTTGTCGTCAGTTGTGCCACTGCAGAGCAACCAAAAAAACACAATGTTTACTGGTTGTACTTTTATGCGCAAATGGAAGCAAATTCTAACAAAGTACCAATATCAACGTCGTAGGTGAAAACTAAAACAAACAATCTCAAACTAACGCAAGAGATTTAAGTGGTTCGGCATAAAGCCTACGTCCACGAGCGAAGCATGGCGAGAAATTTCACTAAACAAACAGAGATTACAAAAGAGTATTTAAACTCTCGCAACCCAAATCCCACAAATTACAAACCCTAAACCAAACGAGCAGAAAATCCCAAAATTAACGGAGAAGATTCTCCCAAATTGCTCTCTAACTCGCAAACTCACAAATTGACTCTCACTAAATTGCCACACGAATGAGCCACACTAAATATACTAACCCTAAGGTCCTATTTATAGTGCATAGGACTTAGGTTATAATAAGAATCCTAATAGGAAATAAATCCAAATCCTAATCAAATAGGTAATTAACAAAATCTCTCCACCAAGGAAACTAACTAAGAAGTCAAAACCAAACCCAAATAGGTAACGCAAACCTAATTTATTGCATCATACTAATTTTGATTGCATCATACTAATTTTGAGCCAAAAACCCAACAATTTGCACCTCGGCGAGAAATTAGCAAACTTCCAAATTTGGGATACCAAAATACAAACGCAAACATGCACCAAATTCTTTCGAAACTGATCTCCACCTAGACTCAAAAAATCCAAAAGTCTTCAAACTTGAAATTTCCTCCAACGCCTTCTCCAACAAATTCCATTATGGAAACTAACAAATACGAAACAAAATCCAAGCAAAAACTTGAACATACGAACAAAAAGTGCGAATTGCACTCCACCCAAAGAGCTTGAGTACCAAGCTCCACCTCTCCACATAACCTTTAGAGGAGTTCAAAACAACAATCTTCTGCAATGTTTGCATCAACACTAGCAAAAGACTTATCAAACAACTTCTTTTTGCCCTTGAGTTTAGGGCAATCTACTTTCCAATGACCTTACTTATAACAACAGCTACAAGTGTTTTTTCCAAGTTTGCTCATTTCCTTATTCCTTCCTTGAACTACCAAAAAACTTCATCTTGTGTGTCAAACACTTTATTCTTTAGCTCTTTAGAATTCAAAGCGACTTTAACATTTTCCAAACTAAGACTTTCTCTACCAAATAGCATGGAATCGACAAATGTTCATACGAAGTAGATAAAGAACACAACAAAGTTATCGCATAATCCTCATCACTAATTTGGTTGTCCACACTTTTCAAATCCATCATAAGTTTATTGAATTCATCGACATGCTTATGAATTGATGTACCTTCATCCATACGAAGAGTATGCAAACTTTTCTTCAAATACAACCGTTTAGCAAAGGATTTGGTCATATACAAGCTCTCCAAATTTTATCCACAACTCCAGTGCAGATTTAATGCTACCAACTTCACGCAAGACTTCATTCGATAAAGTCAGCAGGATTGCTCCAAGTGCCCTCTCCATAACGTCTTCTTTTTCTTCATCAGTCCACGAATTCGACAAAGCCTTCACACCCTTTAGCGTTTTCAAAAACCCTTGTTGAACTAACAAAGCTCGCATATTCAATTGCCAAATACCAAAGTCATTGTCGTCGAACTTTTCAATATCAACTTTCACCGATGACACAGAAGGCTTCATAGTGACTGCCAAGCAAAGCCTAAGCCGAAACTTGGCTCTAATACCACTTCTTGTACTTTTATGCGCAAATGGAAGCAAATTCTAACAAAGTACCAATATCAATGTCGTAGGTGAAAACTAAAACAAACAATCTCAAACTAAAGCAAGAGATTTATGTGGTTCGGTGTAAAGCCTACGTTCACGAGCGAAACAACAACAACAACAACAACAAAGCCTTTTCCCACAAAGTGGGGTCGGCTATATGAATCCTAGAACGTCATTGCGCTCGGTTTTGTGTCATGTCCTCCGTTAGATCCAAGTACTCTAAGTCTTTTCTTAGGGTCTCTTCCAAAGTTTTCCTAAGTCTTCCTCTACCCCTTCGGCCCTGACCCTGTCCCGTAGTCACATCTTCTAACCGGAGCGTCAGTAGGCCTTCTTTGCACATGTCGAAACCACCGTAACCGATTTTCTCTCATCTTTCCTTCAAACGGAGATTACAAAAGAGTATTTAAACTCTCACAACCCAAATCCCACAAATTACAAACCCTAAACCAAACGAGTAGAGAACCCCAAAACTAACGGAGAAGATTATCCCAAATTGCTCTCTAACTCACAAAGTCACAAATTGACTCTCACTAAATTGCCAAACGAATGAGCCACACTAAATACACTAACCCTAAAGTCCTATTTATAGTGCATAGGACTTAGGTTACAATAAGAATCCTAATAGGAAATAAATCCAAATCCTAATCAAATAGTTAATTAACAAAATCTCTCCACCAAGGAAACTAACTAAGTCAAAACCAAACCCAAATAAGACACCAAAACCAAATAGGTAACACAAACCTAATTTATTGCATCATCCTAATTTTGAGCCAAAAACCCACATTATTAACCTTCAAATCGTGTTAGGAGTAAACATGCTATGAACGTACTAATTTCAGCACAGTTAAACACTTTATTTTTCCCCAGCAAAGGGGTATAGGGTTGAAGATAATTTCTCTTTAACTAAGTTCTAGGCCATAAACCATTTTAACTCGTTTAACAGCTAAAATAACAAATCCCAGTTTCAACTTATTCTTTTTCTCCCCTTTTTAATAAGCAAGACAACTTTTTTTTTTTAAATAAAAATAACAATCATGAACAGAATTTTACTTCAATGGAGACCTTAACAATAGTTCTGTGCAGGTTGGAATGCTTAAAGGACCCCAATTGGGATCGTATTCTAAAAATGTCTACTGTTTCTTTCTCTTCATATACACCAGGGAGCCGTCTGCCAAAGAAAACCTTTTATTGAGCAAGACATAACCAACTGAACCACAGAGAAGAAGAGGAAAGTACACAACTCTGAACCCGAGTATAGCAGAAAGTGGTCAACTGATTCCTAGCAATTTTTTTCAGATACAAAATCTTTACCTAAGAAGACCTACTTCCTGAAATTTCAAAGGTGAAGACTCTACCCCACACCAAAGACCAAGCAAAGAAAACCATTTTGGCAGTACTCCAGCTCAACAAATGGCCCTAAACGAAGGGGATGGATTAAAGCCAATGACATTTCTATAAAATCTACGAACTTAAAACACCCTTATGGAACCCCACAGACCATCTAAATACATCTCTAAAACTCTTGAATTTTCAATACATGTAAATCCAAAAACATAAAACATTTCTTCCTATTTGTACGTTTAATTTCTTTAGTTAGCTGCATTGATGATGGAAAGGGGCCTAGAAATATTTTTTATTGTACTGATGTTTATTTACCAAAAGCAAAAGTAAAGGGGGCTATCACCCATTAAAATAATAAGTGGACACAACCCTGAGATGCAAACCTTTGTGCAAAGTGCAACCTTTCTCACCTTTTTCTTCTCCAGAAATAGTATAATGTGACAGCAAAGAATAAATATTACAAAGGAAGAAAACTTTCAAAGGATAACAAATTTGTTATGGGTGAAAGGAGATTGAAAGATTGTTTGCAAGTCAATTGAAAACCCGAAAAGAAAAAGAATTAAATTTCTGGACAATTCAAACATTAGCTTGAATGTATGTGCCAATGATAAAGATAGAACACTTGCATGATGGACAAGAAAATCAGAAAAATTCAATATTCTACAAATAAAAAAGTGTAATGAACCCGAAATCAAAACCGAGTTTTTTATTTGTTCCTAGAGTTCCACCTAAAAACACCTCATTGACAGTAAAAGTCATTATTCTACAAATAAAAGAGTGTAATGAACCCAAAATCAAAACTGATACCTTGAACTTGAGCAGAAACACAATCCGACTCTGACATTTTAAACTCATCTCTAACTTTGGCAAGCTCAAGCTTCAGTTTTTCTGCAGAAGACATGTTATCTGGATAGAAATACTGCATAAACATTTTATTAATGTATTAGGCACCAAACTATTGATCAAAATTAACAAAATTTGCAATGTAGAATTATTTCGTGTGAGAATCACAACAATTCAAGCATCTATTAAGTGAAACCAAAATTTCTCTGACCTTTCCAACAGATATCATACATCATTAACTCAATAAGACCTCTCAAGTGATAACAGGGCAGTCGTGCGTACTATGGGTTGTTATGAAGGCTGATTAATATTGAGGACAACATCATAGCACAAGGTGGAGAAAGGACAATTTTAGTATCTGAATTACGTGAATCTTGTACAAATTCTTAAATGACGCACAAAGTTAACCGAAAAGCTATACTTGCCTTTTCGACCAAATTTTCCTTTGGAGGTTGCAGCATAAAGTTTGGAGTTCGACCTATATGTGACAAGATATCAATTCTCTGGACTGCTGCAAAAACAGAATCAATCAGTAAATTGCAAGATACTCATCAAATACAATCGATCAAGCAACACAATTTGAAACTTTTGTTGTATCTTTAACTGTAAATTTAAAACATACAAATCAACAACCTGAAATTTGTTAATTCACTTTTTTACTTTACATTGTGATAATCCAGCACTTCTCTATGGAAAGAAAACAGAAGACAGAACTTAAGCCAATTGCTGTACCTAGGCCCCCATCTTCAAATTTTAATCAAACTGGGAAGGCGCGCAAATATGCTTCAGTTGGGTAAGATCACTATATCTGTAGAGCACATCTAACTTACTCCAAGCATAGAAAATCTTCATGTGTAGTATGAAAGTAAACTTAAACCTATGACTTCTGTAACAAACGAAAATCCAGTACGCAAACAACACAATACTATAAAACCTGAAGCTATTACAGTCATAACAAACTTTGGAACTAAATCCAAATATAATTTTAATGGTTCTTATTCAATAATTAGCGATACAGAATTGTGGCTCCTATAATGCAAGTAGCACAACAATTTCATCCCATTCCATCAGTACAACATCTCAGCGAACAAACTGTTTAATTCAAAGAGTGAACTTTTCAAATAACACAACACAAAAAGTAAATCCAGCAGAGAACTGGTCACTTACTCGATGATTTCTTTGCCTTTTCCTGGTCCGACCTTTGCAACTTCAACAAGCTTTCTCGTAAATCCTGGAATGTAACGTTGCCAATGGCGGCCTGAGTCTCCTTCTCTTCCATCTCCCTCAACTTCATCAGCCTCTTATTTAACTCCCGCAATGAAAACCAGTTTTGCCCCTTCCCATCCGGCCTCAACTTCCTCAACTTCTCCCCCAACTCTGCATAACTGTACATCTTCACGAAATCCGTCTTCATTTCATTCGAGCCATTTTCTGCATTTTTCTCCTTTCTTAACTCCTTTCTTAACTCATTTCATTCGAGCCAATTTTGTTCTCATTTTATTTGGGCCAAAAGGAAACTATGACCAACAATTGGGCCATAATGCAAATACAAAAACTTTTAGGGTCACTTTGAAAAAAAACACACAAAAGTCCACAACTTCATGTAATTTCAACTAGAACCCAAAATTTCATTAATGTAAAAACATCATTAAAGGATCAAAACAATCTGTCCTTTAGAGTTTTTAAGCCTAAACGTAAAAACGTAAACTTTTGGGCCAAAATGCAAAAAACACAAAATTTTCACAACTTTATGTAATTGCACAAAAGGCCCCAAAAGTACCCCACTTGTTGGGGTGGCCGGCCAAGGAGGTGTGTGAACAAGTGTGAAAGGGTTTTAGTGCATGCATGTGCAATATGCAAGTTGATTTTGGTGTGTGAGGTAAAGGTGAAGTTGATGGTTTGTAAGAAAATGTTTTGTGTCAAACATTAAAGATATTTGTCTAACATTAAAACCAAAATAAATGCTTCACCAATATCCATCACCCATCAAAATTAAACTAAAAGTTTATGAAAAACATAAAACTTTTGAATCAAAACTTCAAACCTTTTTGTTCTTGGCAAGAACTTCAAGAACATGTTGGAAATGTGCCCTAAAGCCAATCATATGATGATACTTTACGGACATTTCACATGTTAAACTAATCTAGTTTAATATAAAGGGCAAAGATTATTGTTTGAGCCGTCTCATATAAATGTTATATGCTTAAACGATAAAGTCCAAGGAATATGTGATTGGGAGAATGCAATCTAATGAAGTTAGATTCATGAGACCATTCTTTCGTAGACATATCCTAAATGTTCCTGATCATAGGATTGTCAATTGGGCATTGACAGTCCGTTAAGATCGGTACGTATTGTGTCTTCTCTTAGGGAGAGTGACTAGTCTCGAGTCATTGGTGTGTGTGACATCAAGACAAGTACGTAGGTGCTCAATAGAGAATGAGTTCACTGAACGCGATCAACGAAGAGTTCTCATATTCATGTCACATGAGAACTCATGGTTGGGATAATGCAAAGTAGTCATTTGACCTGAGGCATCATAGTTGTCTTGTGGTTAAGTCCTTGATCTTTGATTATGTCAAACGTCATTCCATTGGAGTGTCCACGGCATCGTTGGGGTTAAGCCACTTAGCCATGGAGGCAAGTGAATGCGCAACAAGGGATCTCTAACCTTCAAACTGTTTGAGGGAGAATACTCTATGATATGATTTAGAATCTCTGGCCAGAGTATGAATGAGATTTGGGAATGCGTTCCGAATCACATTCAAGGAAATCATATAAGCACACGAATCACATTGGATAGTAGACATGAATAAATAAACTATCAAACCAAACAATGTGGTCAGGAGTATTAGATTAGAGAAAGACCGTATTGCATTTGTAATCCCAAACTGAATAGGTTTTCTCTACCTCTTCTGATTAGCTTGGGTAACCATGATATGCTGCAAGGTGTCACTCATGGTTTGTGGAAGCCCTAAACGTGTGTAATCACTAAAGGGAGAATTGAAAGTAAGTTTCAATTCACAATCGATGTAAAATGGTTTTAATCGCCCACTGCCTCGCTAAAAGGAACCTAATGGATCGCACACCGTGTAAGGTGGAGATTGAAGAAACAATGGAGATGAGTAAGAATGATTAAATGGTTTAATCATTTATTTATGGCAAGGATTAATTAATATGTTAATTAATCAAACGAATAAGTTCGTTAAAGACCTCGGGATAGTTTTGGACCTTAAGGCCCAATGGGCTTCGAACGTCAAGCCCATTAACTTAAGTTGTATGACAACTTAATGAATAATGATTCACAAAGGCCCAATTAGTCCAAAATATCCTAATGGCCGGCCATATTGTTAGGGTAGTGAACTTGGACTTATTTACAAGTTTGCCACTCAAATGAATAAAGGTATAAATATGACTTTATAGCCAAAATTCATTAAGGGTTTGTTTTGGAGAAAATTGGTGAGAACTTGTCTCTCCATTTCTCTCTAAAGAGGCCGGCCACCTTGGGGGTGCATCTTGCAATCCCACTACTCCAAGGTCACTCATTTCTTCTCCAATCTCTCCTTGGTGAAGAGACTTAGAGGTTCTCAATTTTGGGAACTTGGAGAAACCTATTCATCCATCCAAATCCATAGATTTAAGATGCAAGGAATGAAGGCCCTCTCTTTGGGTGATTAGCCTTTGCTTATGCAAAGAGGAATCTACAAAGGTATAAATTTCAACTCACTTTGTTTTGAGTTGAGTTTTGGTTCACCAATCTACTAGGCTTTGAATTTCATGGTTAATGTTTTGTTTTAAGTGCATGCAAGCATGATTCCGCTTTTAATTGTTAATTGCATGCTTATTGATGTTGCTTAAATGAACATGTTTTCACAAATCATCCTTCAAGTTTATACACCTTGCTATACGTTGGTCAACGGATGTCAGACCCTCGCCTCTAAAGGCATTTTCGTAAAATCACACTTTTCAATTTTGTAAAAACGTAAGATTTGGGACGGGTTGTCACAGTATCAATGCCAGATATCAATCAACCAAATTTGCCTATGTGACCTGCATGGCTGAATCTATAGCTCATAACCAATCTCAATCATATCAAATCAAATCAAATCCTGCACAAAAGTCGGAACCACCTAAAGTGGTCTGTACGACAAGACTAGGTGTAAAATAAATATGCTCTAGTGTTACGATCACGTGAAGATTGTGCAAATAATCGTGGGTCACCTACGAGTCGGAACCACCTAAAGTGGTATGTACGACAAGCCTGTGCACCTAACTTGGATCCAAGGTGAGCATATGGTGTGGGAGGTGAACATCACGTGAATGACTGTGCTCTAAATCTGGGCGGGAGCACTAACACCGGGATGTAGGTTTATGAGCTCTCAATACATCATAACATATCTTACATAACTGAAGTAACCTCATATCCTTAATTTACGAACTTACCTGGCACTTACCTGTGCATCCGCAACACCAATCATAAATATATGCAACTACTAATGCATAAATAAAATAGGCAGATACTTTGCATGGCATTTCAAAACGTATAATCATTCAAATTCATTTTCTAGGAAAAATCTCAAGTATATAGGTATATACGGAAAACCAAAAGCCCACTCACTGATATGTCGAAGGGTCGTAGCCCCCGAGCCTCGATTGATGGTGCTCGTCCTCAAGATAGGTCTCACCTATATGTGAAATAACTGAATAAACGTTATTTAAAGCACATACACAAAACTAGGAAATAACTTCTCATATAAAGCTCAAATGGGGTATTTGAATATACCACCATGATCTACTCAACCTCAGGAACATCCCCATATTTTTAGAAAAAGTTCCATGACCCCACGTGCCCTCACGCGCCGGCCAAGGCACGGCCAGATGCGCGACTCATACGCAAGCACATGCTTGGCACACTAAACGAATTCCCTAACGGCATTAGGGAATATTCTGTTAAAAATCAGAATATGTCGTTAAAGTTACCTGACATCGTCAGAATATTCCATCAACTTTGACGGAATATTCTTCTCCTTCTTCCTTGGTTCGCTGGAGTCCGGCGCCGGCCACCGCTGCGATCGTGGGAAACTAGGAAAATTTAAAACTTCAATATCTTCTTCATTTCTTCACCAAAATTCATGAAATTTGAACCAAATTGAAGCTTAGGACTAGAAGAACAAAACCTTACCACTTTCAAGCCTTGAAATCCACGAAATCTCGCCGGAGAACCCTTGATAATCCGGCCAAAATTTGAAACTTGTCAAACTCAACTTCCCAATGTCCAATTCACTTCGTTTTTCTTCTCTGCGCTTCGTGAAGATATTTTAAGGCTTCCAATAACTTTAAAACTCCATGAAAACTTCAAAATCATGAGTGCATGAACAGTACACAAAATCGAGGTTCTTGGGTTCTCGGGTTTTCAAGGGTTTTACGTCCAACCAAAAGTATAGAACAACTCTTGAGCTTGCTAGGAGTTCAAAGATGTCAACTACACCCTCGATCCGTGACTGGAAGTGAAGGTTGAAGGTTGTTCGTACGGTTGTACGGAAATGGAAGAAAATCCGAGATAAGGAGGAGAGAGAAAGGTCAACGGGAGTTTGGATGTGTGTGTGAGTGTGTGGTCCAGTTTTAGGTCACTAATCACAACCAAAACCACTAACTTTAAGTTCCAAAAACTTAGGAACTAACTAATTTAGTTTAAAACCCAAACTCAAGCCACAACACCACATAACATACTCGACGTCCAAGGGTAAACTAGTCATTTCACGCCATCGATAACAATAATTCGGGACGGGCTGTGATAGTTATAACTATTTATTATTGAAAGGTCAAATAAGATATTTTCTCTATTTTTGGTTGTATATCTGCCCTTAAATAGTAAATGTATATACTGAAGTTAAAATATATATTTTTATTATGGTTAATGATTACTCATGATTTATATGGGTTTTTATTATGAACTGTAAAAGTGATACTCAAAGCATTCAAATATAATTAATTAATCTAGAATCATTTATGTGATTGTAGTATATAATATAGGAAGGTAATTCCAATTGTAATTATTTAGGGTTCCTACCTGAATAGGAACTAATATAACCCTATATATTGTTATATTGTTTGCACATTAATACAATGAGTCATAATACTACATGTATCACTCATTTAGGTTTTCCTTAGATCTAATGTTTCTCTCCTCTTTTCCCTTCCCTTGCCGGGCTCATTACAAAAATAAATTTTACTCCCTGAACGACGTCATCTTCTTCCTTTCTCCCTAACCAAAACACTGCCACCTTCCCTAAACTTTCTACCACCAACTATATTGTTGGGGTTCATCAAATCAAAGCCTTTCTTGTTGGTCATGATTTCTGGAAATGCGTAGATGGTTCATCTCCCTCTCCCCCACCCACCATTGTCTATCTCAACTTCATGAAAGTCGATCCTTTCTCTCTTCTTGAAGTTCGTAATCCTGAGTATCTCTGTTGATATAATTAATTAATTTGGAATCCTTTCCGTGATTGTAGTGTGTAATATAGGAATGTAATTCCAATTGTAATTAGTATAGAGTTCCTACCTGAATAGGGATTAATAAACCCTATATATTGTTATATTGTTTACACATCAATACAAGGAGTCATAATACTACATGTATCACCCGTTTAGGTTTTCCTTAGATCTATGGGTTCTCTCCTCTTTCCCTTTCCCTTGTCGTCTAAAGTACCAAAATAAATTTCCTCTCTCAGTGGCGTCATCTTCTTCATCTCTCCTCGGCCAAAATACTGCCTCCTTCCTTAAAACTTTCTACCACCAACTATATTGTTTGGGTTCGTCAACTTAAAGCCTTTCTTGTCGGTTATGATTTCTGGAAATGTGTAGATGGTTCATCTCCCTTTCCTCCGTCCACTGTTGCCAATCCCAAGTTCATTGAAGTCGCTCATCTCTCTCTTCCTGAAGTTCCTAATCCCGAGTACCTTCGTTGGTATCAATAGGACCATCTGGTGATTAGCTATCTCATGAGTACAATCTCTGAGTCTTTAGTTTTTTTTATTTTTTATTTTTTTATGTTGGTTGTGTTACATCCCATGCTTTATGGGATTGTCTTTATACGCAGTTTTCTCATACTTTTGTTGCTAATGAAGCCACTTTGTTTTTTCGACTTTTGGATTTATCCAATTGCTCCAAGACTGTTGATGGCTATATTCAAGAAGCCAACTCAATCATTGACCAACTTGCTAAAATTAGTGAGCCTTTTTTTATTTTTTTATAAAGATCTTGTTATGTGCACTATTCGTGGCCTTGGTCTTAATTATCAGAAGCTTATCACCACTCTGATTAATAAAACTATCCCCTCCTTCATCGAGTTGTAGTGCAAAATTCTTACTTCTGTTCAACAAAATCCCAAAACTAAATAGCCAAGACAATTTATATTAAAATATTATTATTTATTTTTATAAAATAATAAAAAAAATCTTTTTAATTTCAGATATAATTTTTAACCAATATCGTCATACCATGTGTCAAACTAAATAAATACGAAATTACATAAAATACTAAATTAAAAGAATACGAAATTACATAAAGTACTAAATTAAATAAACACAAATTATATAAAGTACCAAATTAAATAAATATGAAATTATAACCCAAAGTGATTGGAAAATTATAGGCTCTGATTTTACAACAAACTCCCTAGTAATCACCATACCAATTTATGGTGCTAGGACCATCTCCACTTGTTCCCTCGTCTCTTGCATGCCTCCTTCACACCATGTCTGTTTTTTTTTTCAATGTCGAAAAATATTAAGGATTCAGAGACATTTTTGACAGAAGCTTGTTCATAATTTCATGATCTTGTTGAGCCTTCCTTTCTTTTCTAAGCATCTCCCTTTCTTGCCTAAGCAGCTCTCTTTGTCTCTCATTAGTCGCATCACGTATCTCACTAGCATGAAATAGTCTCTGGGCAACTGCAGCTTTTGTCTCATCTCTAGCCTTCTCAAACTCAAATTTAGCCACTTCCGGCACCAAAGTCAAATCACCTTGACGAGCAAGTTCTTCCATATATTTTGCATAATCACTCATGGAAGATCTCCCTTTTTTTTCTTTGAAGCCTTCTTATAGTACATGAGTTAGCATTGACACTTCTTCAGGGGTCGCTCCCAGTACTTATTTTGTGTCGCATTCCTGAACATTTGGCATAGTGTGTAGAGGGTTGCTATTCATGACAACTTCTAGACTAACAGACACATTTCTGTATTTGGGACAATCTTTGACAATATTCCAACATTCCCACCGCTTGAATGATTTGCTTTTGTTTTTTGCATTGTACTAAGCTTGTTCTTGAAGTGTCTACAAAATGTAGGAGAACAAAAAATTCTAATCAAACTAGTTAATGTCAAGTTGGGCAAAAAAAATAAATAATATTGTCATCTGATCCGCTAAATTTTTGCCACTTCGAATATTAGAACTAGTTGACCTACGGTGTCTCTCCAAAAAGTAAGCGATTGGTTGAGTGTTCTCCAACGAATTGTGAGAGATTGTTCCATTCTTATGCCGCTAAGCTTCTCACAAAACATGGAATGAACACTCTTCCACATTTCTCGCATCACATTACCCGTAATTGGGTCATGAGTAGCTTGAACCTAGCTAGAACACAACGTAGCATCTTCAATTGTCGACCAATTCGAACCTGCATCATTAGCCTTTTTTTTTTCTTTTTTTTTTTTTGCAAACAAAGTATATGAAAACTTTGAGAGAAATATTGGTGGAAAGTATTTGAAAGTATTGAAATGTGGTGTAAGGTGGAAGATAACAGTAAGGTATTTATAAAAAAATTATATAATTTAAAAAAATTGATTTTTTTTAATTTTTATTAAATTAATTAATTTGGACCATTGGATATAAAAAAAATTGAAATCCAACATCCATATTTTGACATGTGGCCTAACGATAACATTTCTAATTTCTTTATTTTTTAATTTTTTTTAAACCCGAAAAAGTGGACTGTTGTTCTGAAAATTAAATGGTCCAGATTGTGTCACGTCACTAGTCGTTGGGCGAGGTTTGAAATTCTTTTTAACCTTGGAAATTCAACGGCCTGGAAGCAGCCACGTTGCTCTAATGCAAGAGTAATTGAGTGGGCAACCACGTGGGGTCCACCTTCTGAAACGTTATCAGAGACACACCCCCACGTGCTTGTATATGTGCCTGAAGCATGGCGTTAGCCTTGCATTACATCCATCCAGGCGCTCGAGCCGTGGACTTTCACCTGGCTTCTTTCTCAGGCTTGCCTTAAGTCCAATTACCCGAGTAGGCTAAAGGGTTTTGGGTTTTTTTTTTCATTGTCCATCGTGGAAGTGCTCTTATATCCTTTCTTTTTGTTTTTTATTTTCCACGACCTAGCCAATAGTCATCTGCTTTTAATTTGAGAAATCAATTGTCTCATGGGCTAGGCCAATAGGAAATGAAGCTACTCTTGAAAATAAAATCCAATTCCTTTCTTGACTTTGCGAGACCTCCACAAAACCAATTTCATTCATCTTTTAATTTCTTACACCATACTTATGTTCCTACACATAAGGATCAATACTTTTAGGTCAAAGCTAAATAATTTTATCAACTAAGTAATTTTGACCAACAATACATATTAAAGCACGACTTGATAAATTACCAGAGAAAAATTACTTAACAGGTATAACGAAAGCGCATTAGACATGCACTTTGAACAATTATCATCTCTCTCTTTTCAAACGAGTGGACGTGCACAAAAACAATAACGGTTTAAAATAAATAGTAAAAGTTATTTCATTACCCTTGCTCTCCTAAAAAAAGGTGAATTTGCTCTTGGAGATCAAGTTGACGACCTTCCTATTTTATAGGCCACTTTTAATTAAAATATATAATTTCAAAGAGAAGTATTCATAATCTCTTTCACCAAGATCGTTCGGATCACTAATAATTTTAAGGAAAGAGATCCTTTCTGGATTTCTTCCATCAAGATTACCGGATTAAGTGATCAGCCCTTCCAAATTTCATTCAACGACCCATTTGTTTTGACCCATAAAAAATTGTGATATTTTTTAGCTGCTAAATAAAATTTGAAAGATCCAAATCACTTGATTGATATGATAACTTTCGTAAAAAAAAGCCGGAGAATATCACTTTCCTAATTTCAAGAACCTATCGTGATAAAAATCCGACAATTAAAGTTTAAAAAATAAAACTAAAAGGAATTGCCAACATCCGAAGCCAAACGCGCCGCATCATCATCTGACAACCATCACCATCTTCTACATCTTCCCCAATTCTTGGTCCTCACTCACCTCCGGCCCCAAGCGCGTCTACCCCACACCCCTCAACCAATCTTCACCTACAAACCCTATCTAAATAAATTAGTGTCATACATCAAAACCATTAACAAAAAAAAAAAAAAAAAAAAAAAAAAAAAGCCACGCAAAGTTGGTCAAGAACTGCCACGTGTTCCCACTCCGGAGGCCCACCCATAGAATTGAGAAAAAGATCGACACCAAAAAAGAAAAAAAAAGGAAAATCCATACAAAGAGGAAGAAGTGGAAAAGTTGTGAGTTTGTGCGTGTGTGTATATATATTTATTTTCTTTCCTCCCTTTCTTCTTTCTGCACACACAAACAAACCCACATAAAATTGAAAAAAAATTTCTTTCTCCCCCTTCTCTCTATCGCCACCCTCTTCTGCTTCTTCCTCTCTCTGCGCAAAAACCAGGAGAAGCAAAAAACCGACAGTGACAACACTATGAGTTCCCCTGCTGACGACGGTCAAGACGGCTGGGTCAAGCTCGCCATGAATGACGAGGCGGCGGTCGTCGACCTTCTTCTCCGCCTCAAGCACGCCGCGCCGCCTTCGCCGTCGAAGCGCAGTAGTACTCACGGCTTTCCGACTTTGCGGTGGAGCGTAAGGCAGCGCCGTTCCAGGAACGTGCCACGTAACCATCATGCCGACGACGTCGCTGCCGAGGGAAGAAAGAGCAAGAAGGGTGAGTCGAGCGGCGCCAGGGCCAGCCCCACCACGCCTCTTTCATGGAACGGGGCCACTTCGGTTAGCGGCGGCGGTGGCTGCGTCGACGGTTCAGAAGAATCCAGCAAGCCGCTTAAGCCGACCGATACCGCGAGATCTAAGGTCCGTATATCTCTGTCACTGTCACTCCTAGGGTCGGGTCGGGTTTTGGTTCGGTGGCTGTTCTTTTGCTTTTTTACTTTATTTTTTTTTTGGAATTTTCAATTGACGAAAATACCCCTGGAAAGTGTGGTATTTACACGGGAGTGGTTCAGAAGTCCGATAGGATGGCTTGGTGATATGTCAGTCTCTCTCTGTTTCTGTAGAGGGGGCTTCCAATTGGTCGTTTTCCTTTTGACAGTTATACCCCTATGTTGCATGGGGATGCATCGTGGCCGCCGAGGCAAATTCGGTCATTTCGCACGCCGGACGGTTTCTCTGCTCGGCGGTCGTTTGGACTGGGCGCTGTCGTTTTACCGTTGTCAATATCTTGTGTACTGAAATGCCCTCAAGACCTTCCGTGTTTTCGAATTTTCGAGATTCTTTAGGGTTTTTCAGAGGAAAAAAAATGGGTGACTTCCATTCAAAGCATATGGAGTCAGAGGAGTCGATGACACTCACGTTTTTTACTCTCTCCTTTGCCGCTCCTGTTACGCTTATTCCGCTGGAAACCCCAAAATACCCTTCTCATCGGTGACATTTTCGTCATTGAACAAGGTCTCAGCCAACCTCATAACTGTTGTGTCCAACACTCTCACTCGGCCGAGTTAGGAAGCGTGAGCTTGTAATCTCATAAACTGTTGTGTCCAACGCTCTCACTCGGCCGAGTTCGGTAATTAAACAGTGCATTAAAAAAATAAACGGATGATGGAGCCTTGGTAAAGTAAAGCACTCTTGTTAAGTCACTTTAAGCTTAAGCCCTTCGGGGTAATGGGGGCGCCCACCCATTTGGGTAGCAAACAAACAGTCCCCCAACGCCAAAACCCCCGGTTAAGTTTTTAGTCGAAATGACGAAATTCTGCCTTAAAAAGTCAAACCGTACTTTAAACTACGAGGGCAGTTTGGGAAGAGAGAAAAATGATGACCTGCTTTGTCGATGGCGTGTCATCGTGGCAAAATAGGTCTGCGCGTTGTGGTTTGGTGTGGTTCTGGTAGTGGTTGTGCAGTGACGTGGAAATCATTGGGTGTGGTCGGCCGCAGTTTGGCTTTTCCTGCAGACGCATGGTAACGACCAAATCGAATCATCGTCCTGCGACGTCGTTTATACGAGTTAAAATAAGACAAAGAAATGTGTCTGTTTTAACGTGTTCAGATGACAGCTTGATCGGCAGCACTTCTTTTTATGGAAAGACGAGGTCGAGCTGTTTACCGAAAAAACAAAAAAAACAAAGACGAGGTCGAGCTTGGATCCAATGGTAACACAGTCAAATGGGTAAAACATTAACTTTATTATCAGGCTGTCTGTCACGTGATCGTAAGGGACAGCCTCGCATGTTATACTTTTAATGCTACGGTGGGGTCCCAAGGGAAGATATAAAAATATTGAAGACAATTTTAAAAAATTGTGAGAGTCACTGTACAAGTGGCTCTTTGTATTGTCTCTCCCATTTGGGGTTTTATTTTTTAAACAATCCGTATTATTTACATTATCTTAAGCGAGAATCGAACCTAAGTCTCACTTACAAGTGAAGAGAAATACCACTAAACTATAGTAGGAAGTGACGTCTCTCCCAATTTGTTATAAGTTGAATTTGTTGTTGTTTGGTGTCCTCTAGGGTACTCAGTTTTTTATTTTTGGTAGGTTGAATGATTGCATTAGGTACATTTGGGTCGAAAACTGAGACGTGAATTGCTCTAGAAATTAAATGAAAAGGGGAATGGGAAATTCTGACAATGTATGGGCTGCTCATTTGAAATTGTCACAATACGAATACATAAGTTAAAACGCATTTGAACATTGTCACGAGAAAGTCAGTGGAGAACCTTTTAAAAGTTTTTGGGCCTCGGAGCGGTGGGAATTTGAATATGTGGATTTATTGTTGCATGGACCATGGAGTGGTTTCGATCACCCCGTTTGATATGTGTACTTGGTATAATTTTTTCCTTTTTTTTCATTTGTAAGCTGATTGCAGTTTTTTCTATATTCGCTAAGCCGGCTAGCTCTAATCTGTATGATTTTTGTACTGTGCAACGAGAAATGTTTAGTTTGACTAAAATTGGGTTGTGTTTGTTCCGTGGGTGCAGGTTGCTGTTAGAAGTGAATTAACCATCTTCAAGAGGCCAAGAAAGAAGAAGGTAAATATATCGTTATGTATTTGCACAATGTAAGCACAAGTACAATATTCGTGGAAAGCTTATGACCTATTTGGCTTAAACGAAAGAAAGTCCAATTAAGTTAATGTATTAAGGCTAATTGAAGTCTTAGCTCAAAGGCTCAAGCCACAAAAAGTTCTAATTCTTAATGGTAATCAGTATCCGAAAGAATTGACCAAAAAAAAAATCAGTATCCGAAAGTCACGAGTAAGATATCTTGACTGAGCAGATCATACAAAAAGTTCTGAACGAGTGACCTTGACCGGGCTTAAACTTAGGATCTCTTTCTTTTACTGTGTAAATATCATCGGAATAAATTACTTAATGGTTGCATTTCAGTAGTTTCTTTGACCAGTATCTTAGACTCCTAATGCTAAAAATATTCCTATAAAGTATGCAAACGGTCTAATTGTATGTATGCCTGTGGATTTGTTTTGGAAAAATTCAATAGTAGTCTTATCTTGAGATTGCTTTACAAATGTGAATGAAGCAGAGTAGCTAATACTTAATTCCATACGTAAAGTTTTTGTTGGGATTGAATATTTGACAGACCTAACTGCCATTATCTTGGCATTTTTCGGAAATTAGGTATTTTAACACTGCACATTTCGCCTCCCTTGTTCTTTCTTTGGTTTGTTCGTGGTGGTGTGCTGAATAATTGTTGGACTCATATTTCATAGTGTAGTACTTAAATCTAGTGGCTGCATGTAGACGTTAGCTGAATTAAAAGAGGAGGAAAGTCTGCTGTTGAAGGAAAGAAGAAATTTGAAAAATGTACGTCTTAAAGATACTACATTATATGTTCCAATATGTCATCGTGGAGATACCTGTACATTGATTTCTTTAATTCATTCTCTGAGCAGGAATTGGCAGTGCTACGCCTCACCGTTGAGAAGCAAAGGGCCACAAATGAAAGCTTGAAAAAAGTGAAGGTGAACGTTCTGTTAGACTGTTACTACTTATGCTCTAAATATGTATGCATTTGTGATATACATTTAAAATCAAACTTAGATTTAAAATTTTCATGAAACTTACAGTTTAAAGTCATAACGGATTCACATGTTTAAAGTTTAAACACAACATGGCTTATCGCTCATACCTAAATCACTGTGCATATTTTATCGTATTCTCAATTTGATTATTTGATACAAGCAATGTTGAAAACTAGTCCAAGATTTTATTTGTTGCGCTTGTACATTGAGGAATGTCTATATTTGTTAACTTCCGCTGACATAACCTTTATCTGGCTTTGTTCTGAAACAAAAAGCTATTATGTACTGGAGAGATTTTAGCTATTTAAAAATAAACACTCCGATAATTTTGTGAAACGTGGGCATTTAAGTTCTTAATTGGATTACAATAAACCTCAGGATAATTTGATGCGTAATTTGCCAGTTTCTCTCTTTTTATGTACTATTTGACATGATTCTATAGCTTTTAGTCATTTCAGAGAGTGATTGACGTCTACATTTTGTGGCCTCTGTTGTGCCATTAAGGGTGCTGATGTCGAAAGTACTAGACTTGTAGTTTCATCTGCTTAGAGTTTCCATCGTGGTAAAAATTAAGTATCAAAACTTTTAACATTGTTGCAAAACTTTTCCCATCCCATTGCGCTTAAGTAGGAAGTCCACCTCTGTCTCAAAATACGTACATGTAGACATTATGTATATAATATATATTATGCATCAGTGACCAGCCTGTTGCATGAATCATGATGCAGTCCTTCATCTTTTCTTAAGGGTTGACTTTTTTAATGCATGTATAAGGATGCTTCTCGTATTATGTAATAATCGACACGAAAGTTTGAACAAATTAGTACGTAACTTCTCTTTTTGTTTTTCCTGTAAGATTGTTTATGCCAATGATAGCTTAGTGCAGATTTGCTTTTTGATCATTTGTGAGACGACAAAGAACCAAGTATGCAATCATTTACATTTTCAGGAATATCAGCATGTATAACACGTATTGTAACAGCGGTTTTATGTTTTGGTTACAGCTTGAGTTGCAATTGCCGCAGACAAAAATGAAAGCTACGACACTTGTACTGTCTGGTGAAGCCATTTGGCAACAAAATGAGCAAATAAATGCAGTTGGCTACACTACTCCGATAATGACAACAAGTGCTCATTGCAATAACGCTGGCACTTCACAAAGCTCCTGTCCTTCAAATGTTTCTTCCAAGGGACAACAAGAGGTTGGGAGCCGAGACACTGCCTTTTCACTACCTGATCTGAACCTTCCATTTGGAGAGGACTCTAGCTCTGAGGTTTTATATTGAATGAGCTGAGAAGATTCAGACGGGTACTAGTGTTCAGTTTTTCCAACCACGCGGCGCCAAAATCTGCAGTCCATCCTCCGTTCCTAACTGTATTTTAGGTTGACAAACTGTTAAGTGTAAGTATAAAAGCCAGTCTCCTCTGCCGCTTCTTGAACTGAGTGCGGCGGGTGTTATTTTGATTCTCCATAGATGAAAATACTGAGGGTAGTGTAGATATCCTAAGTTCTAGTTCTTTGGGAGCCCGCATCCCTTTCCCTCTATTTTTTCCGTGTCATTATAATTTTATTTTTCGGAAACATCTACTGCTTAATTAGTTTAATCACTCCGTATTGTATTAATGATCTATTATCTGTCATAAACTAGTATTCATTCTATTTTATTTTTCGTCTTATTTTTGGGTGCGTCTCCTTTTGGTGTAATGGAGTTTTGAACGAACAGATTCCGCCCGCTTGATGTTGCCTTGACGCCATTTCCGTCTTTTGCTGTGAGAATTGATGTAAATTAAACTAACCTAAATAAGAGATTAATTTAAATCAAATTAAATTCGCAAGTGCACGAATCAATTGTAGTAATATATGCAAATACGAGATCAGTCTCACAGGATTGCTTTAACACCAATTTAATCGATTAATCACACTAAACAAAGGATAGATTGAATTGAATAATTGATTAAGACCGATTAACAAGAAAAAGAAAAGACAATTAATTAAAATCACACACGACACAAGAAAACCTAAGGCCATCTTCAACCGATTCGGCCAGAGGGTCATAGGGCTAAAAGAAGCCCGAAATGACATGAAAACTGTCTCCAACCAAGGGCTAGGCCAAAGGGCTTTTGGGCCCTACAGGGCCAAAAATACCAAATCAGGCCAACCAGCTGGCCCAATCCAGCTAGGCAGCCAGCTCTGGCCCGACCCAAGGTTTGAATTGCAACGGCTAGCTAACGGCAACTAGCCGTTCGATTTTTTTTTTTGGGACAAAATTAAAAAAAAAATTCTAATTTTGTTCCTATAACTACCTAAGCCATTAAACAACATTAAATAATATGGAAGATCATTAAATAACATCAAACTTAAACAACATTAAACAATATTAAACAACATTAAAAAAAAATATTTAACAACATAAAACTTAAATGCCTATTCCATACTTCTTTTAGCCCAAAGATGCGCAATAAGATTCTGTTGTAGGTACTTGTTTGTGGTATGTGAATGTATCATTCTATGGCACATCATGTACTTATTTAAAGAAATATTACCAGTTCTTGGATTTAAAGGAAAATTAGGCTAATCATATATTTTTGCACGAGCCCTCCTTGACCTATTTGGACCATCTTGATCGTCATTAGAGTCTCCATCAATATAGCCATCTCGCTCATTCTCGACAATCATGTTGTGTAATATGATGCACGACATCATGATGGAGTTCAATTTTTCTCGACTCCACCCTCTTGCTGGTTCCTTAATGATCTTCCACCGTGCTTGTAGAATACCGAAAACTCTCTCAACATCTTTCCGGTATGTCTCTTGGTGTAAGGTAAACCACCTTTGGGCGTCATCCACAGGGTTTGCAATTGCTTGGACAAGTGTCGCCCACTTTGGGTAGATGTCATCTGCCAAGTAATACCCCATATTGTACTGACGCCTGTTAATGTAGTATTAAGTTGAGGTGATTTTGAAGGAAAAATTTTGTCCTAGCTAAGAACAAGTATGAACATTTGAATACACATGCAAGCTATTAACACTTTAAAGTAGGCATGCATCCAAAAACAATTCATAAAACCCATGACTTTCAAAGCCTAGTATATGGTGAACCAAAATAAAACTCTTTAACAACATTAAAGAGAAGTAAAGATTAAGTGATTCTTTACCCTTGAAGCTCATCCTTGATTACACAAGGGATTCACCCAAGTGGAGGGCCTTCAAGTCACCTCCAAGCTCTTTGAATCCTCCTTGTGTTTTCCTCCCTTTAGTGCTCCTTTGATGATTAGAGGAAAAAGGATTTGTTCTCCAAAAACATCAAAAGCTTGATGTCTCTAAGTCTCTTCACCAAGGTTGTATATTGTGAAGATGATATGGATGACTTAGAGAGATTTTAGATGCTAGTAAAAATCCTCTAAGTGGCCGGCCTCTATGTAGAAAATGAGAGAAAATGTTTCACCCAATTTCTATTAGAAAACCCTAATGAGAAAATTGCTATAAAGTTGCTTTTATAACATTTTCTTTGGTGAGTGGCAAACTTGTAATTAAGCAAGCTTGCCCATTCACCCTAATGGCCGGCCTCTCCTTGTTATTGGGCCAATTTGCCCATTTTGTTTTAGTTGTCATACAACTTAAACATAATGGGCCTTGTGGACCAAAACACTTTTGGGCCCCGAAACCCAAAACCAACATATAAGCCCAATACGAACCTTTCGTATAATTAATTAACTAATTAATTAATCTTGACCATTCTTCAATTAAACCATTTAATTGCTTATCCATTTCATATAATTTCTTCACTAACATCCTTATGTGGTGTGCGATCCATTAGGTTCCAATTAGCGAGGCAGTGGGCGATGTTACTCTTAACGATCGATTGTGAATTGAAACCACATTTCAATTCTCCCTTAAGATTAGTGTTTGCTAATCTTCAGGGCTTCTACAAACCATGAGTGACACCTAGCAGCATATCATGGTTACCCAAGCTAAGTAGAATTGGTTGGAGAACCTATCCAGTTACAACTACAATGCAATACGGTCCTTCTCTAATACAATACTCTTAATCACATTGTTTAAGTGATAGTTTGTTTCATGTCTACTATCCAATGTGATACTTTCCTATATGATTCCTTTGAATATGATTCGGAACAAACTTCCTAAGTCATATTCTTATGCTTTGGCCAAAGACTTTAGAATCATATCTTAGAGTATTCTCCTTCCACCATGGAAGGTTAGAGATCCCTTGTTGTGCATTCATATGCCTACATGGCTAGATAGCTTGACCCCAACAATGCCGTGGACAATCCGAAGGAATGTCGTTGACATGATCAAAGATCAAGGACCTAACCATTAGACATCTATGATGCCTTAGGTCAAAGGACTACTTTGCATATTGCAACTTTAGAGTTCATACATGACATGTATGTTCGAACTCTCTTTTGATCGTCGTTCAGTGTACTCGATTACCTTTTTCGAGCACCTATGTGTTTGTCTTAGTGTCCAACACCAAATGACTTGAGACTAGTTCATACTCACGTTTGAGTCAACATAACACATACTAACCTTAGCGGATTGTCAATGCCCAATTGGCAATCCTATGGCTAGGAACGTTTTAGGAATGAACATAAGAGAATGGTCTCGATAATCTAACTCACTTAGATCACTTGTCTCTTAGATCAAATACATTCCTTGGATTCCCTTATTGCTTAAACACATGATACAATAAATAGTGATTAACAATAAGCTTTGCCCTTCATTAAACATATAAAAGTTTAATACAATAAGTATTCCAAAAAGCTATTACATCAAATGAGTGGCTTTGTGGGCATACTTCCAACAATCTCCCCACTTGCACTCAAAGCCATCTTCCCATGTATCTAATACCCATCTTATCCATATGACGATCAAGTTGGATTTGAGACATTGGCTTTGTCAGTGGATCTGCTACGTTATCGGCTGAGGCAACTTTGAGGATGTTGACTTTCCCCTCGGCAGCATATCTTCTAATGATATTAAAGCGCCTGTCAAAATGCTTGTTCTTTTGATGTGCCCTGGGTTCCTTGGCTTGAGCTATCGCCCCATTATTATCACAGTACAAAGTTACTGGTGATGTAATGGTTGGAACCACTCCAAGTTCAGTAATGAACTTCTTCATCCAGAACGCTTCTTTGCCGGCTTCAGCTGTAGCGACATATTCAGCCTCTGTCGTGGAATCAGCAATTACACTTTGCTTCTTGCTTTTCCAACTGACAGCCCCACCATTCAGAGTGAATACATATCCGGAGTTGGAACTTCTATCATCGACGTCAGATTGGAAATCTGCGTCTGTATAGCCTTCCACTCGCAACTCTGATGCTCCTCCATATATGAGGAACATGTCCTTAGTTCTTCTTAAGTACTTAAGGACCGTCTTGACAGCTGCCCAGTGTTCTAATCCTGGGTTAGATTGATATCGACTAGTAATGCTCACAGCATATGCGATATCAGGCCTTGTGCATATCATGGCGTACATGAGACTTCCTATGGCTGAAGCATAAGGAATCCTACTCATATGCCCTATCTCTTCAGGAGTCTTAGGTTCCATGGACTTAGAAAGGTGATTTTCCATGTCTTACAGGAAGAAAGCCTTTCTTAGATTGTTCCATCTCGAACCTACTTAGCACCTTATCAATGTACATAGATTGGGATAATCCAATTAATTTTCTGGATCTATCACGATAGAGCTTTATCCCAAGTACATAAGATGCATCTCCTAAATCTTTCATGTGGAAGGTTTTGGACAACCACACTTTTACAGAAGAAAGTATTGCAGTGTCATTCCCGAATAGTAATATGTCATCTACATATAACACTAGGAATACAACTGCATTCCCAACGACTTTTTGATAAACACAATTGTCGTCTTCGTTTTGAGTAAAACCAAACGTTTTGATTTCAGTGTCGAAACGAATGTTCCAGCTTCTGGAGGCTTGCTTGAGTCCATAAATGGACCTTTGAAGCTTGCATACCTTAGTCTTTTCAGACTTGGACACGAAACTTTCGGGTTGAGTCATATAAAGCTCTTCCTCTAGGTAGCCGTTCAGAAAGGCCGTCTTCACGTCCATTTGCCAGATCTCATAATCATGGTACGCAGCTATAGCAAGCAAAATCCGAATGGACTTAATCATGGCTACTGGAGAGAAAGTTTCTTCATAGTCAATCCCTTCTCTTTGCCTGTAACCCTTGGCTACTAATCTAGCCTTATAAGTCTCCACGTTCCCATCAACGCCTATCTTCCTCTTGAAGACCCATTTGTTTCCAACAGGTACAATACCTTCTGGAGGGTCTACAAGAGTCCAGACCTGATTTTGATACATGGAATCCATCTCGGATTTCATGGCCTCTTGCCATCTCTTTGAATCAATGTCGGACATTGCTTCAGTGTAGTCTCTAGGGTCCTCCTTTGTTTCATTGTCACCTAGAAGGTACAATTCATCAAAGTCATTGTCTAAGCCATACCTCTTAGGTGGCTTACTAACCCGTTCAGATCTACGTGGAGCTAGGGTTTCAGGAACAGGGTTGTCAATATGTCTAGTGCTTGTTTGTGGTTCATTATTAATCTCATTAATTTCCATCTGTTTGCTTATAGTCCATTTGAGAACGAATTCGTCCTCTAGAAACTTAGCAGTTCTGGCGACAAAGACTTTCTGGT